GATCTTTTCGTTAAAGAAAATTTGATGTCAGATGTCAAATATTAAATAGAAGCATTGAAGAAAAATTGATACTAAGAAATCCATAATAAACATCAAATGATACAAAATTTCGTTTAATTTTTCTGCAACTTAGGAAAGTATCATCTTTCTCTAATCCTAATCTTCTTTCCTATGATTTCTTGTGATATTCTATTTATATAATCTTACATATATCTAGAAAAGTGGAGATTAAACAATTTTGTAGATATATCTATTTGCGTTTTTGTTTTTCCATTTAACTTTTTGTCATTGTATCACGATCACGCGCGAGTCGTGTTAATGATTCTAATGAACGGAATTTTGATGTGTCGCGAAGAGCCATCATGCTATATCGCAAGAACTTTGCGCGCTTATTTTTCTACTTATATACACATATGCTCCGTGGACTTATGCCCCGTTATGTCCCGAATTGTATAAATTTACTTTAGGTAATATAAATCATCACAGTTAATCAATATTTACACAGATACTTTACTAAATTGACAAGAAAAGATCGTTTAATAACATTTTACTTACAATAACAAAAAGTCGAATTTTTTATCATTGTTTATCTTATGCAAATGTATCAAAGAAACCACAACTCACAAGTCAGTCGCGGAGAGCGCAGTGAACGCGTTAAGCAATTTGTAGCATCTTTCAGCTAAAAATAATATAAAAACTGATATCAGCACGCGGTTAGAGACATATATCTAAGAATAATAATTTTGAGACATTTCATTACATGCGCGATGGCAGCATCTCTGACGATTATATCCCATGTAATATATATAATTATGCCCCGGATTCCCTCTGTTATTACGCATTAGATATGCCAGTATTTTTGTCTGTTTTTCCTTCTTTTTTTGTCATCTAAACATTTTTCTCTAATTTTACCAAAACTTTCTTTTCACTCCTAAAGTTACTGTCAAATTTCAATTGTTTCCTTTCCTATATTGTTTCTTCTCTTACTTAGCTCTCTCACTTTCACATTACTCTCTTTCATAAGTAATTGATTGTGTAACTTTCTTGCTCTTATCTATCTGGGCTTCCGTACTTTTAGGTACCTACACGTATTCCGTAACTCTTAAAAGTTGTCAAAAAGGGAGTGAAATGTGAAATGCTGTATGTGTCTGGACGCTATGGTAAAGGTTACCATTGTTCCACACATTGCCATTAATAAATAAACGTCAAAGAATCAATAGTTGTTTATATGCGATTCTCGCGGTGAAACGTATATGTATGTTTATTGTCTGAAAATCCATATTTTTGTTTTAAATTATCAAACGTTCATCAGAACATTGGTCTTTTACTTGTCTAAAAATAATATTCTGGTATTGCTCGTGTGAAAACGATTGGAATTTACTAAAAATAATTGTAGATATCAAAAAATAAATTTTTCAAGGTGAGGAGAAAGTTAATACAAGTTTCGATGAAAATAGTAACGAGTATTATAAAAGTCTAAGAAATAGAGATGTTTAAAAAAGTTTTAATCGTATTTCAATGTTTATAATTAGTACTATTTGTGAGAATTTGGTTTAATTATATCTTCGTTACACTTTACTAATCTTTTGAATAAAAACAATTACATTCAACGCGAAAGGATTATGGATTATCGGTCTTTCTTCTTGAGTAGATTATGGAAGCCTTAACCATCGATCCGTTCATTTACCGAAACCTTGCAATATATTCTAATTGATGCAGTGAATGACAATCATGTTAAAAATATATATTGTCTTCGAACTTATGATATAACTGAAAGAAACTAGATGATTTCTTATGAAAAAATAAGTTGAAAATGTAGAATAAATTTATGTAATTATATTAATATTTATATAATTATAAGTTATATTAATATTATTTAATATTGCCAAACTTATTTAAAAGTAATATGTGAGTTATTTAGAATTTATTAAGTTAATTTTATTTAATAATTAACGTCATTTAATAAATAATATGATAAATTAATATAACAATCTGTGAAAATTTTTTTAAGTTTATTACATTACTGATTAAGTGAAGCAAAATCAATCTTTTTCGTCAATAGAAACGATGATATCTTGTGTAATATAACGTGATAGTATAAGGTACCTATGTTGTGACGCATTTTATTTGAATTCATATTTTCTTTGATATTTCTCTTAAGCTGTTTCACTTTATTAATTTTGTTAATCTCCGTTAATTGTTTTTCTTATAAAACTTTTACTGTGTCTTTGTAAGAGCTACTAATATAATAAGCACTATAGCTCTTTTGGACCGTTCTCTTTTGTTTCTTATATAATGAGCGCAATTTGTTTTGGAAATGATGATATCTGTATTACGAAGAAAAGAAGAAGAATTTGTATTATATCATTAGTTTCATTTATTGACAATGAGTCTAAAATTGTTTGTAGGAGCTTCTGTCTTATTTTTATTATTGTTTAGAAAATCGTTACCAGCAAAATCTGCGTTATTAAAAACAGATCTTATTTATCAGATTTATTGACCAAAATCCAATACTCTTAAAGACATTATTAATAGATGCAGCTTTATAATAAGCTATTGTTATTATAGGAGTTATATCGAATTGCGTAAACCCCCTTGCACAATAGGCGATAGCGA